GGCGAGCCCACTTCAAAATCGAACTCTTCAGCTTTGGCAAGCGAAACGGTCAACATGCGTAACTGTATAATTCTTTTCACACAACAACGCACCCGATGGGCGAAGCGAAGGTTTGTTTAATTAAATCCATTGAATCACATGCACTGAATTTGTGTGTGTATTAGCATATGTGGTGGCATCACAACTGAGGTGTAACATAAAATAATGTCACACGCTTCGTATTCCCGCTGAAACGGACAAAATCGCATGCAAATCAAATCGTCAGTCGTCAATAAGCAAATAAACGCAATAATTCACCTTTGGTTTATATAAACGATGTGTCAATATATTCTCAGATATGAGTGTAACATATGTGTGTGTGTTTGTGAATTTCTGAGAAACAGAACCAAAAGGCAAATGCGACAACGGCCGCTATATGTTGACAAGAAAATGTAGCAACAACAGCAAAAAATGTTCAATTATTGAACGCCAGCAGCAAGAAACAGCAAAAAAAGAAGCGAGTGAACATCAAATTCAAATTTTGACCCAACCCAAATATTTTAGGTCAAAATCATCATAACACCAAATGTGGCAACTGAAAAATACAAATAAAGATAATAGTGTATTGGAAATGTTGAATTTCAGCATTTCTTACACAATTGTCTACGCAGTGTGACTGGCGTTTTTCAACCATGTATGAATATAAGCGCATTTATCTATGTATTCTGTTGACATATGGCTCCGATACAAAAAATAAATAAAATAGCTTGACAATCCCAGCCCTGTTTTCAGGTTAAAATAAATGTCTGTGGGTAATTTAACGCTTTGCAATCTGAATTTGGCTCTTATTTTGCTGGCATTATGAATAGAAAGAGCAAAGTACATCACCCAATTGACATTCTAGCTTTCTAACTACACGAGTAAAACAGTCTGGCTAAATGAGTCGGGAAGCTTAACTCACGCCCCACTACACCACACAACCACACCACACCTGAAGACATCAGTTTCCCCACATATCCATTGGAAGCAGCAGAAAACACCACACACACACTAATACACGCAGCTACTAATCCACCACTGCCCAAAGAGCAAGAAGCTTCGTCCTGGAAGTGAACGTTCTTTTTTCGACCACGAACTTCGATATGTAATTGCTTCGTATATTCGGCAGTTCAACTGTCTTTCTTCATCTGGTGATCTTCCACGCGCAGCAGCTCCACCAGTATATCGCGAACATAAATACATTTTCACGCCTCCGCTGGTATCCGACCAGGAAAGTGGTAAATTATATAGGGTCCTTCGAGCCGGTAACAATTTCATGAAAACCAAAAGACTTTGTAAAAACTGTCTGTCTCATGCGCATATACTCAAAAAGTGCGAAAGCAAATTTAACTGCGTCTATTGTCATAAACTACAATATTCGATGCTTCATATAAGTAATTTTACCAGTCTATCCCCAAATAGCGCAAATATGAGAAGAGCCACGTGTTTAGCTGCAACAACAAATCCTGAAGTACCAAATTCACAAAATTGCCAAGAAGCACCATGTTGCTAAAAGGTATTAAAAACTTAAACGCTACACAGCAAAGATCACAGTATGGTACTACTACCCACAGTAGTCGTCTCCATCGAGCATCGAGGAGACTGTTTAAACTAAGGGCCCTAATAGACCAAAGATCACAACGTTCTTTCATAGCATCTAGGGCACGAAATAGGCTAAATCTACCAACAAAACAAGGAAACTTTGAAGATGCGGAAATGGGCGGAAGAGTAGTTCAAAACTCTAATAAAATCTGCCCCATTACCCTATTTTCCCCCCAAGCGGATATAAGAATACAAGCAGAAGCTATAGTCTTACCGCAACTAACAAATATACCTCCAAGCTATCATAGAAATAGCAAGCATTGGGAAAAGGTTTCACACTTTAAGTTAGCAGATCCCAACTGCAACACCCCCGCTCAAATAGACCTTCTATTAGGCAGCGATCTCATACCACAGATAATACTAGAAGATATTGAGAAAATTTCAAACACATTTTTTGCACAAAAGACCATTTTCGGTTGGATCCTAAGTGGGCTGGTTACGGAACCAGTCACAACAATGACAACTCAAGTTGAGGAAATCTCAAACGAGTACCTCAATTCACAATTGAGAAAATTTTGGGAGATAGAAGAAACCCCCGCATTTCAATCACAACCCCCGAAGATCAGTATTGTGAAGGCTTTTACAAAGCCACAACTACTAGATTAGATAATGGTCGGTATGTCGTACGACTACCACTAAAACAACAATTTCCCAACACAATCCCTTAGGTCACTCTCGCACCTCTGCAATACAGCAGTTTCAAAGTATGGAAAGAAACCAACTTAAAAAAGGTGAGCTCAAACCAGAATATGATGGTGTGTTGGAAGAATGTCTCCATTTAAATCACATGGAGGATCCCAATTGCCCCCGGGATCATCATCAATGACAAATACTACTCATTTTACTTGCCACATCATGCAGTAGTAAAGCCAGATAAAAAAAAACTGAAGTAAGAGTTGTCTTCAACGGCTCAAGATCCACTAGCTCGGAGAATTCCCTAAACGATATCCTGTGTACGGGACCCACGCTCCAACCTGATTTAATGCTGCTTATTCGAAACTGACGTATATTCAAATACGTATTACGTACGTATACGGGGACGTCGAAAAAATGTATAGACAAATAGTCGTACATAAAGACGATCACGATTTTCAGCGAATTATTTTCCGAAAATCCCCCAGTAGTCTACTACACGACTTCAAGCTAAAAACAGTGACCTTTGGCGTTAACTGTGCCCCATACTTAGCCATTCKAACACTCCATGAATTGGCTGAAAACACCAAGTCAGAATTTCCTCTGGCAACCCAGGTATTAAAAACACAAACGTATGTAGACGATATTTTGTCTGGAAGCCACAGTCTTCCACAAGCATACGAATCATTATCACAGGTAATCCAAGCCCTCAAATCCGCAGGGTTTCCATTAAAAAAGATAACGGCAAACAGATAACATACCAAAAGAAAATTTGTTGGACACTAATTTTCTTATATTCGAAAAGGAAAGTACTACAAAAACTCTGGGCATCCAAAGGAATGCGATATCGGCCCAGTTTTCATACACGATTGTGCCCATATCCACATTATCTGCCATTACAAAACGCCAATTCTCTCCTCTGTGGCAAAACTTTTTGACCCCGCAGGATGGCTATCGCCAATTATGATACAAGCCAAAATCCTGAGACAAGAATTATGGCTAGATGGGACCGACTGGGACCAGCAAGTAAAACCACTTCGTTTAGAAAGGATGTCCCAGTTCTCGAGCAATCTAAGCGATATCACAGAAATACAAATCCCACGATGGGTGAATTATATCCCAGAGCATAAAATCGAACAACACGGCTTTTGTGACGCCTCTGAAAAGGCGTATTGCGCCACTATATATGTTCGCACACAAAGCGACAAGGCGATCACAAGCCACTTACTAGTTGCAAAAGCAAAAGTGGCTCCTCTAAAAGTAATAAGTCTACCATGACTAGAACTATGTGGAGCACTACTGCTTGCCAAACTAGCATCCATAGTGCAAACGCAACTGAATATGACAAAAAATAAATTATATCTCTGGTCCGATTCCGAGATTGTATTAGCTTGGTTAGAAAAACTACCACATGCATGGAAAAAGTATATTTCCAATCGAACGTCTCAAACTCTTGACCTAGTGGGATCAGCCACTTGGCGATACGTTGCCAGTGTTGACAATCCTGCTGATCTAGGTACAAGAGGGTGCAAACCTCTACCCCTTTCCACCACCACCCTCTGGTGGAATGGCCCCCGATGGTTAACAGAATCTCCCGATTCTTGGCCGCAATCGCCCATGCGCAATATTATTGAACCAGAAAGTCAAAAGATCGACTCCTTTCACATAACATTGTATGATACTGACATCCTTGGAGAGATTTTCATCTTACCCCCGAGCCCTCAGGGTAATCGCTTAGAATTAAGGGAACGTCATCCCATTGTTATACCAGAGAGATCGCAACTTATGGCAGCACTTCCACCGGAACGTTGCAACTTTGCTCTGCCCTTCACTATCATAGGTGTCGAGTATGTTGGGCCTTTTAAAATAAAGTCATCCATGCTCATGAGCGACAATGGCAAAACATTTATAGGAGCTCAAAGAGCTTCTGAAAAACAGTTTGTGGACTTTATCAAACAAGTTTCACCTGAGATTGTACAAAAGTACGCTCCCCAAGGCATTGACTGGCAGTTCATCCCTCCAAACGCTTCTCATATGGGTGGTTTATGGGAATCAGCGGTCAAAAGCTTTAAATCCCACTTTAACTACAAACTTAACTGGAAACTACAAATTTAACTTCTCGCAAGATCGCTCTGATCTAACAGTTCTTACACCAGGGCACTTTCTCAAAAGAGCACCCATTCTGGCCGTACCTGAGCCAGGCATGGAGTTGCTGTCCTTACTAAATAGATGGGAAAGAATTAAAATTCTCCATCATGATTTAAGCCGCCGATGGAAAGAGGAGTATATAAAGGACCTACATAAAAGGTACAGCTGGAAAACTCTTGAAAAGGCGCCAAAGCTTGGAGATTTTGTCCTAATACATGACAACTATCTCCCCCCTACAGAATGGCGGCTTGGGCACATAGAGAAGCTACATCACGGCTCCGACGGTCACATACGAGCAGTTGACCTCCGTACTCAAAACGGAACTCTAACGAGACCACTCGTTAAACTATGCTTCTTACCAAAAGCAGATAATAACGAAAATGCACATAATAAACAATCCGTACAATAAAACGGACACGCAGAAATTGAAACATCCGTCTAATAAACAAAACCGAAATAAACCGCAAATATAATAAATCATGAATAATGGGTAGATTATTACGAACTCGACAAACCAAATAAAGTTGGTTACAAACAGACAAATTTTTCATAAATTATACTAATGAGTGGCAACTAAACTCGACCTTTTCTCCATACAGGCAAATATGGAGTCAGAAAATAGTCAACCTTCAACGTCAACAATGCGATCGGTCATCAGTGTGCCCCGTCCTGGAGTTGCCATCACCAGCGGAGCCCTATTGCTTACGATGCCCATTGGCCGTCGCCCCCACAGACAGCAATACTGTGGGCTCTTCAAGGGGTTATCACCAATACAACGCCAGAAAATAGCACAGGCGCATGGGCATTGCCAAAATTGTCTGGCGCCCACGCACGCAACTCATGAATGTTACTCAGGGGCTTTGTGCCACATCTGTGGCCGGCAGTATCACACGCTGCTCTACCGCACTTCGAGGCGCGCGTTCGGTTGGCCACGTGCACCTCGCAGCCGCGGCACAACCAGACCGCAGCAAATCAGCCGTGTGGCACGTCGCCGAAGACCGGCACCTCCCCGTGAGTCTCGTCTATGGCGTCAGCGCAATGCAACATCGACAAGGCGTCATCAAAGGCCGCAACAGCAACATTTGGGCTCAGCAACGTAGCAGCAGCGTCAGTGACTGCTGGGCTGAATATTCGCCTAGGGGGCCGGGAGGGCTAAATGAGTTAAGCTTCCCGCCCTCACGCGCCAGTACACCACACAACACACCACTCACACGCAACACTGGCACATACACCACACCTGAAGACAGCAGTTTCTCCACACATCCATTGGAAGCAGCAGAAAACACCACACACACACTAATACACGCAGCTACTAATCCACCACTGCTCAAAGAGCAAGAAGCTTCGTCCTGGAAGTGAACGTTTTTTTTTTCGACCACGAACTTCGATACGTAAACATCGGCGGACATTATATACCTTTTTGCGAAAACTCGGCACGCAGCTCAAGCATCTTTCTGCATTGCTTCGTATATTCGGCAGTTCAAACGTTATTCATCATCTGGTGATCTTCGACGCGCAGTACCTCCACCAGTATATCACATCATCATTTCGAGAGTTCCTCAATTTCATTTCTTTTTACAAACATACATACATTGTCACGCCTCCGCTGGTATCCGACCAGGAAGATTTTTTATTATCACATTTACCACATCACATAATAAAATTGTGATCCAATTTTCAATAAAACGTTGCGTTATTCTTTCCGGAGTAAGTAAAAAGTAAGTGGTAAATTATATACAGTCCTTAGTTTTTTTAAAGAGTTTTTGATTTTGCACTTATGTATGTATGTACGTGATTTGGTACCCTCGTTCATTCGTTCTCAACCAAACGGTATCATTAAGGTTTCACGAATCGTTCGTGCCTGGCAAAAACGAGTATTACATTGTGTTAAACTTTTTTTTTCCAAATTACTATTTATTGGATCTGCTTTTTCTAAACAATAAGTTATAAAATCTTAATTCTATTTAAAAACTAGACAGTCTTAAGCAACAGTTTGAGCTGTTTTGGTGATACGTCGCTCTTTAATACGCAGGCATATCTCTTCTTTTAAGTCGTGTTTGATCGCAGTAATATAAGCATTAGCCAACATACATCAATTGACTACCGAACAGTAAACACGTTCTTATGTGTGGAATACAATGCTCGTGACACACTGCAAACGACATCTGTCAAATATTAAAACACACACGTTCTTACGGACGGACCTATTTTGACAACTGCACGACTACACGACTGCAGGCCGACAGTTGTCGTTCTCGTTAACTTCAATTTTATCCTATATTTGCCAACGACAGTCGGACGACAGTAGAGTTGAGAGTAGAATGGAAGATACAGAGATGAGGTAGAGTGGTGATGCCACTAATATGTAAAATGTAAAATTATTCAAAGCTCTACAAAACCTGACGTTATTTTACAAATAAAAGCCCTGTTACATCATTTATAATAACAATTGATAATTTAAAACACATAACTTTACCTATTTACTTATTTTTTGCCTTAAAATTTCACTTTGAATAAAATATTAAAATTTCATTGAAGTGCACGGTATTAGTATGGCCACAATGAAATTGTGTACATACAAAATAGACAGCTGTGTTGTTTTGTGTACATGCCGGCCATTGTTATGTTGCTGCCCTCTCATAAACGTTCATGTAGTAGGATTCAGAACGCCATTTTCAGTTCACTGTCGTGCTGCTGCAGTCTGTCGCGAGCATTGTGTTCCTCACATTAGTGATCTTTTTTCTCCTATTTCGTTCGCTCTCAACAGTTTTGTTGTTGTCAAGTGCCAATTTTATAACATAGTGACTTTCTCTTAACAATTAAACTTATATTTAATCAGTGTAAGCTAAAACATAGTGAATTTTGTGTAATTACAAAAAAAAAAAAATATTTTGCATTGTGAATCAATCATGGCCTCCGATCCGGGAGGTGGTGACCAAAACTACTTTGCGGTCTTGGGAGTAGAGCCATCACCCAAACGGAAAACTCCAAACCTCAATAATGCCCATGACTTCCCACAATTAAAGAAAAACAGCAAAACCCTGAACCACTACCCTTCCTCTTGTCCCAAATTTCTAATAATTAAAAACAAAGACAGTCAAAAACCTTTAAAATCTATTAACATATTCCTTCTCCAAAAAGCCCTAGAATCGATTACTTATGAACCACCCAGTTCTGTCTCATTTACCAGAGACGGAGATCTCCTCATTCTTACCAAAAATAACCTAGAAACAAACAAATTCCTTAAAGCAACAAAACTATGAAATATTTGTGAAATTTCCGTTAATTTGCACCCAACACTAAAAACGGTGAAAGGCGTTATATATGCAAGTTGTGTTGCTAGCCTTACTGAAAACGAAATAGTGGACGGTCTACGCCAACAGGGTGCAACAGAGTGTAAAGACATTACAAAAATTATAGATGGTAAAACTATAAACACCGCTCTTCACATAACTTAGTTTAACGCATATGAATTACCCAAAGAAGTTAATGTCGCTTGACTTAAAGTTAAAGTTGAACCTTGTACACCATTCCCAATGCAGTGTAAAAACTGCTTTGTTTTGGGCCAAATCCGATCCGAAGCGTAACGTGTGGTCCTTCTCAACCCACAACCCCACTCCATGTAGTAAAATAGAATGCATTACCTGTAGACAACAATATAGATCGGACCACAAACTATGTCCCACCTTACTTAAAAGGAAAGACATTCTAACATACAAAACACTAAATAAATGTAGTTACAAAGAAGCAACTGAAAAAATAAACAACAAACGCAAAGAATACGTCTCACCAACAGAAAATTTTGAAGAAGCAATAAATGAAAAAATCAGAAAACCAATAACCAACAAAAAACAAACAACAGCAACAAATTACCTTACCAACAATATACACAACAATCCAACTACAAAACTGATTCCAATAAACACTCACATAACATATCCTCTTCCATGTGAGGAACACAACGCGACAGACTGCAGCAGCACGACAGTGGACTGAAAATGGCGTTGTGAATCCGACTACAGGAACATTTGTGAGAAGGCAGCAACATAACAATAGCCGGCATGTACACAAAACAACACAGCTGTCTATTTTGTATGTACACAATTTCGTTGTGGCCGTACTAATACCGTGCACTTCAATGAAATTTTAATATTTTGTTCAAAGTGAAATTTTTAAGCAAAATATAAGTAAATAGGTTAAATTATCAATTGTTATTATAAAAGATGTAACAGAGCTATTTTATGCTTTTTTTTTTTTAATAATGTCAGGTGTTTTAGAGCTTTGAATAATTTTACATTTTACATATTAGTGGCATCACCACTCTACCTCGTCTCTGTATCTTCCATTCTACTGCCAACTCTACTATCGTCCTACTGTCGTTGGCAAATATAGGATTAAATTGAAGTTAACGAGAACGACAACTGTCGGCCTGCAGTCGTGTAGTCGTGCAGCTGTCAAAATAGGTTCATCCATAAGAACGTGTGTATTTTAATATTTGACGGATGTCGTTTGCAGTCTGTCGCGAGCATTGTATTCAACACACCAATCCTTCTTTACCAAACAACAACAATAACCCAATCTCCAGTACTACAAAACACCGAAGACAGAACTGCTGTCCAAAATACTTGTCTAGCTCTCTCAAGAGATTCTCTTAGCTCAGAACTGTTGACGATATAGCTTTATAAAAAACTCTTACTATTAAATTTTTCTTTAATAGTTTGTTCTCACCTAACACTCATTGATTCTTTATGGTACTTAAGATTCTGCAGTGGAATCTTAATGGTTACTACAACAATTACAATAAGCTCACTTTACTTCTAAAAGAAAATCTGTTTCATACAGTTGCTCTCCAAGAAACTCATTTATTTAATAACCCACCAAACAGTATGATACCGCCAAAATTTTCTATTTACTCAAATAACAACATAGAGCGCGATACCATTGCTAAAAGGGGGTATTAATCCATAACTCACTTGAATATTCTAATCATAACATAAATACTAATATCCTTTCAGTAGCTGCTAATATTAAATCCACCACTGCTTTCACAATAGTTAACGCGGGTTATATCGCGGGATATATCGCCAACCGACAGTTTAACAGAAGCCGATTTATCAAATCTTATTAACAGTTCTTCACATCATAATCATAACAAAAGAGGTAAAATCAATTCCAACTTCATACAAAACAATAATCTAATACTACTTAACCACAAATCGCCTACACATTTTTCAACACGATCAACACTAACACACATAGATCCGCCTCTCAATATTGCTGCCCCTTGGAAGACCTCTGACTAACCACATGGCAGCGATCATTTTTCCATTTTCATATCCCTTTTTGGGCTTAATCGGTGTCAGAATATGAATCTCAATAGGGGGTACAACCTAAAACTTGCTGATTGGGTATTATATCAAAAAACTATGGAGAGACTATTAGCCGCCTTAACCTTCAACATTAACAATAGTAACCAGGCAGCAGCAGCTATGCTGAGAAAAATAAAACAAGTTGCTCACTTGTCCATAGCAATTAACAAGCTCAGGTTTTGCAAACGCTCAACTTACTGGTGGAGGAGCAACTTACTTACTTCCAGGCTTCAGAAAGTGGATTTATGGAAAATTACTAAGCGTAATCCCACAAATGAAAACGTTTTAAATTATAAAAAAGCTAATGCAAAGTTTAAAAGAGAAGTTAAAAACTCAAAACGAACCACATTTATTGAATTTACGAGGGATATTAATTATCAAACCAGCTCCCAAATTCTCTGGAGCAAAATAAATATCATCCATGGAAATTTCCCTTCAAAAAATTTCTACGTAATTAAAAACTCTGAAAATTTAAGCACTTCCACTCCAATAGAAATAGCACAGGTTTTCGCGAAAACCTGGTCAAACTATTCAAAAAATAGCAATTTTAGCGATGAATACGTAAATAGCAAAAATCGATATATTAATTCTGTCCATATTAATTAACAGTGAAAAAGCAAAGCAAATAGATCTTCCGTTCTCTACACATGAACTTAATTCTTGCCTTTCTACACTGAAAGGTAAAACTCCAGGCCTAGACAAAATACCTTATCCGCTTATTAAAAACCTTCCCCCCATTGGTAAAACTAACTATACAATATACTATTTGCAAATAGCGTAGTTCCTCAACTTTGGAAAACAAGACTCACTATCCCCATACCAAAACCCAATAAACAGAAAAACACCCCTTAAGGTTATCGCCCAATTTCACGTATTCCATGTCTATCAAAAGTAATGGAAAACAAGTAAGCAAGGGCTAAGTTCGGGTGTCACCGAACATTTTATACTCTCGCATGATAAAGCGATAATCGAGATTTCAGGCGTGGTTGTGAACCATATTTGGTACATGTCATCAAGGTGCTAAGAAAATATTATATACCGAATTTCATTGAAATCGGTAGAGTACTTCCTGAGATATGGTTTTTGGTCTATAAGTAGGCGACGCCACGCCCATTTTCAATTTTTAAAAGAAGCCTGGATGCAGCTTCCTTCTGACATTTCTTC